TCATTAAAGAATTTTCTTTAGAATCCTAACTAACAATGCAGATGTTAACTGGAAAATAAAGAAAATACCAATATATATTTAGCCACTTTACCTGCAAAAGATTTAATTAACTCGGACACGAGATTTGACAGTATGTCGAGCACATCCTGTAGAAATTAGGAAAAATTAGTAATTATTATCATATTCTGTGTATAATCATTATTTGGAAATCGGAATGCTTCTTCTTAAATTACTGGATTAATGAGTGTGGTTGATTAGATTTTGATATTTTCTTATTGAATAACACACATAATTAATTATTATTCCATCCAATCGCATTAAAGATTATATTGAAAGTGACTACATAGCTGATGTATTCACTTTTTTTGGAGTGAAGACCTCATTAAATTTAAATCTATCCTTTTTTGTCAACCTGTGTCTTCTTTGTAGTCCGATTTTAAAACTCTAAAAGCAACTGTCTCTGTAATGTCCTAATCAATGTCAAGTCAGCTTAAATACTTCACTCAAACAAAATAATTTGTTCTCCAAAGGCATCCAGAATGAAATCTATAAACAAGCATCACAAAAGGCTAGTATGTTTAAGAAGATAAAATCGACCAAATTCAAAGAGCTCTTCGTATGGATCCTTAAAATTAACATGCAAATTGCCATTTACAATGCTATGAAATTTTTAAAAATCTTATAGTTAAGAAGAGGGAAAAAATGAAAAATCATTTCTTGCATTTTGATCAATTAAAAGCCAAACATTATGATCAGTAACCTCCTCCTCTCTCTTAAGCATTTCATCAAACATTTATCTAGCTCCATTCACCCTTTTGAAGCCACATTTTGATCATAATATGTAATGAAACCAAACTCAATCTAAAACCCAAATTACAAAAAATCTAAAGCTCAAACGTATATAGGGAAATGCCTGCCAAAGGATTTTTGCCAAAGAATATGAGGCAATAATATGCAACCAAATTAAAAACATAATCGAGCAGAATGTCAAGAAATGTTGTACCAAAAATTTAAAATAATTAACAAAAACTTTAAATTCATCCTAGAAATACTATGAAATGGATTCGCCCAAAGAAAGTCAAAATCCCAACAAAAGCACCGTTTTATTTTATTTTTCTTCAATCTTATTCTTTTATATTTCGTGGTTGGAATATGGGGCAATGCGGAGGAGAGAAATTTCTTAACCCTTTTTCTCTATTAGCTTCTTTGCTAGCTTCTTGTCACCATTGCCATAACAATATTGTATTCTTGGATCAACTAAGAGAATTTGAAATAACATATAAAGAGATAGGAAGAAAAGAGTTGAATTGATGGAGAGAGAGAGGGAGCGAGGGGGTTTCTGGAGATGGATTTTTAATGAGGAAAAAATAATAATAAATAAAAAAATGCTAAGCAAGCAATGTTCCGCACTGGAGCATTGTGCCGTACACTCTCCAGACTGTGCGGAGAGTTCACTTGAACTCTCCGCATAGTCTGGAGAGTTCATGTGAACTCTCCACAATGTACGAAGTGTTGTGGCACAGTGCCGAGAGTTAGAGACTTGAGCTCTCCAGAGAGTCCACTTGAACTCTCCGAACTATGCGGAGGAGTTTTTTTTTTAATAATATATAAAATTCTCTATGGTTTTCTAACTTACAGAGGAAAGTACACTATTATTAATCCATATTCTCTATCACCAGAAGGCATTCGTAAACAATTTAATTTAAAACCTTCATAGAATTTGGAAATCAAAGAGGAATCTAACTTCTAGGATTCAACAAATTTGATGACCACTTAATAGATTCTACCAGAAATCTCATATTTCTGCTTAAAAAAAATTGCAAAAAGAAAGGAAAAAAAAGCCAAAAAAAAAACAAAAATACTGTGGAGCAACTCCGCACAGTGCGGAACAAATGTTGTTGTTGTTGTTTTTTTCTCTTCTTCAAGTTTTTTTCTTTCTCCATTCATTGTTTATCATCTTTAATATTATGGCATTAAGAATCGACTAAAATACACCTGCACACACACTCAAATAACTGGCTGCTTCAAGAATATGGACAAAACCAAAATCGTTTTTTTCTTTTTTGTTCTCTGGTTTTCTTCACCTTATTTGTCTTACCAGCTTGAAGAGATAACATGAATGAGCTAAAACAGTAGTATAATCACAAACAAACAAGAAATGTACGCTATTTACCTTTCAACAATAGAAATGAAAATAAAAAAATCAAACATCATTAAAAATTCAATTTGGGCTTTTTTCCAATCCAAGTGATCCATTAGAACCACTTCATCTCTTACCATAATTCGTGGCTTGCCTCGTAAAATAAAATAAAATCCTTAATCTTTCAAGAACGATTAAAACGGGATGATAATACTCCTCTAATCAATGTAAAACCACACAATAAAATCAAATCAACATACATTCAATTCATAGCAAAAATTTATATTTACTTATCAAAAACCTCGTTTCAATAATTCTTTTGATTGTTATATAATAGAAGCTTCAAACCTCTGTAAAAGAAAAATAGAGGGTTAGAACTTCTAGAATGTTAAGTACTGAGAAGACGAAATTAAATACCATATAGACAAAATATTTGGAAAATGAAATAAAAGAAAAAAGGAGAAGAAATGAATAGAAGAAAGAGAAGAATGAAGGAAAGAATCATGGGAAGTTGCTTTAAGAAATTGAGGAAGCCAGGGAAAAATGACTGATATGAACGGTTGCGTGAATAGGAGGTGATGCGTGATGGAAATAAAAAAGACAAAAAAAAAATGTCATTTTGCATTTTATACAATAACATGTGATTCATTTACTGTTCAATGAAATAGTGCCATCTCCTTCCCATTCTTAAGAGAAGTTAGTGTTAGAAACGAAACAATAATACCTCTAAAAAAAAAAAATCGACCTAGAACCACACAGTAAAATCAAACCAACATACATTCAATTCATAGCAAAATTCTATATTTATTTACCAAAAACCCTTATCTCAATAATTTAGATTCATAACTCTGTAAAAAGAAAAAAAAATTATGAAAGAAATTGCTATCGGAAAAAATAAAAATTGCAAATGTTGTGCATGCAAAATTTTTATTAGCGTATGAATTTTAGTTTTTTTGAATGTTTTTGAAGCAATATCTAGAAATATTTTCATGATATAAGAAAATAATTGTAAATTATTTTTACAATTGCATAACAGTATTGTGTCATCTAGAAAAAATATGTTTTTATATTTTATGTTTGAATAAGAAATATACGAAGTTATACAAACAATTTTGCCTGTATTCTTTGAATGTGTTGATATGATTGAATTGAATGTGAAAATTAAATTTCTAAATTTTATGTAATTCAATATTGAAAAATTGAAAATTAAGCACAAAGTTATAAATCAACTTGTATATTCATATGAATTTATATTTTGTGCTTCATATATTTTATTATTTATTTTTTGCTTATGTTGAAAAAATTAAAATCTGGAATTTTTTTTTTACAGTCAGTTTGGTAAGTGAATATACGGTATTCTGCATTCTTGATATTTGTAAGTGCAAAAATCGGTACATGAAAATATGGTAAGATGCAAATACGATAGACAACATATACGATAAGATGCAAATACGATAGGCAATATATACGGTAAGTTGCAAAATGTGGTAGACTGCAAATACAGTAAATTGTGTGCAAATATGATAGCCTACAAATACGGTACGTAGGCAGTATATACGTTAAGCTGCAAATACAGCAGACAGCATATACGATAAGTTGCAAATACAGTAAGATGCAAATATGGTAAGCTGCAAATACGGTAAACTATATATAAGGAGTTATAATTTGTTATAAATGTATAAAATTTATTTAATATTGAATTTCTTACAATATATTTTTCCCTTTTTATAATTGTATTTTCGAAAATTAAAAAAAAAAGGTGGTTATAAAATTGCTAATTTGTAAATGTGTTTTTTTGTTGAAAATAAAAATAATTTTTTATGCTATTTGTAATATATATATGTATATATATATATATATATTATGATTATTCAAAAAAATTTTAACACCACACAATAAATCCATACTTTTAACCTGGTGATTGCAAATTTTTTGTGTATCAATAATGCATTTCTCATTCGAACAATAATGCCAAATTTTTTGACATCATTCTTTCCTTTTCTTTTTTCATTTTTATCTTCTTCATATGTTTAGATGCTTTTGTTAGATTTTTTGTTGTTAGAAATGATTATTTTTTTTTGAGAGTTTTTTGGTATCATATTGAAGTCAAACTTATTCTTGTAATTATATTTTTTATTAGATTTAATGCATATTTTTAACTAATAAAATATCAAAACTAAACAAATATTAGGTTGCATAATTAAATTAAACAAAAAAAAAAAGTCGCTGCCACAACTCCGTACAAAATGTGCGTAGGCACAGACTATGCGGAGTGATTCTGTGGGAAGTGTCCGCACACTTTGCACAATGTGCGGATAGTCCGCACACATTGTGAGGCGATCCGCACTTTGTGCTAACTGTCCGCACATTGTGCGGACACTTCGTAAAATTTGTGTGTGCGGGGTCTCCGCACATTTATTTAAATTATTAAATTAGTAATTAGACGAAATTAATTCTAACCATCTCTTCACATTGTACGGAGTTTTTTCTGCTCATGTGCAAATAAAACTCTTTGCACTGTACGGAGATTTTTTTTATATATATGTACTAAAATTATTATTATTATTTTAGTACCAATGACATGATGCATGCGTGGAAGAATATTTGTCAATCAACATAAATAAAATTCTTCACAAAATGCAAAAATAAAAAATGACATTACGTATAATAAAATTAGATTACTTTACTATTGCATCTACAGTGTTACCTCTTTGCCCTTTTTATAAGAAGTTAGACATAATATTTTTTACTTCCAAATATTTTTTCGTATGATTTTTCAAAAGAATCCTAATTTTAAGGGTGTTTTTGTAAGTTAAACCGCTGTTGTCTAGAGTCAAAATTAAGAAATGGGACAATTTGGCCATTTCTAATTTATTGACAAAAATAAGGGAAAAAGAAAATAGAAGCTCCAAGCAGTTAAGCCGCCGAACTCCTCCTCGAATCCAAACAACCAGATTTCTTTCTTCTTTAACATTTTTTAGAACTCAATCAGGTAAAGAAACCAGATGCGTCTATAAATTTACATTTGTATTATTTTTAATTTGAGAAAATATCGTCCTTTTCTTTTGTTCAGAATCAAACTTTTTATCAGGCTTGGTTCTGGAATTTCCGTTTACTGATGTATTAGAGTTGGGACTTGCTTATTTTGGGAACAAGGTACCATATCCTTTGTTAAATTCTTTACGAAAATATTGGCTAATATAAATAATACTCCTTGTTCTTTATTTCATTTTGCTGAAGTTTTATCTTTTATAATAAATTTTGCTGATTGCTGTAGATATTTATAATTTAGAGCCAACTTAGTTGTCCAATTTTTGCTGACTTATTATTGTCTAATTGATCTGTTCTGCGTCTTGCAATTTGTTTCTTCGTGAGTTGCAGTGAAATTTTCGCCTCGTGCAAATTAAAGGAAATTAAAATGATGCTTGATTCCATGTAACTGCTGCATTGGACTGCATATATATTTGTTTTGTCCACTATCCAGTGAAATACTGCCTTCTTCCATAATTATTTTGTCAAGAAAATTGTGAAACCGTGAAAGAGGGCAATGTGTTAGAATTTTAGTTGTTCAAAATAGTAGTATAAAATAATAATAATAATAATAATAATAATAATAATAATAATAATAATAAAAAATAAATAAATAAATAAATTTTTGGGCTTAACCATGCGGCCGCATGAGGCCCTCCCGAAAATGGGAGGGCCACTTGCAGTATAACCATGTGACCGCATGGTTATAGCGCATACGGTCGCATGGTTATACAAATGATTGTTGGAGATTCGTTTTTTACCGTTTTTCTTTTGAATTTGGTGCTTTTTCAACATAATTTTGCACCATTTCGTGGGAACCCTTCAAAGCCTATAAATAGGTGTTCCAATTGTAAAGAAAAACATTCTTGAGAAAATTAAGAAATTCACCACAAAATTATTCTCCCAAATTATCACATAATCAATCCTATATCTATTTTCACTTGTTCTTTGTGAAAGATACACTTTTCTTTTGGTATTCTTCGCACAAAGGCTTGTTTAATCCTACAAACTATTTGCCAGAACTCCTCAAAAGCATTGGAAAGGGGGCAAATAACGTTTGACGATAGCGTTATCATTTTCGTGTTCAAACCTCTTATTATATCTATATTCTTTCATTACCAATTTTCCTCTCTTCATTGCTTTAAATTTCCAACAAACTCAAACGTTATCTGTGCATTTCCTGCAATGGAGTCGGAATCTACTATTGCTACTATCAAAATGATGAATCAAGATCTGGTGCGTTTGGATAGATTTGATGGTGCAAACTTTACAAGATGGCAAAACAAACTCAAGTTTCTTCTAACGGCGTTGAAGATCTTCTACGTGCTTGATTCAAAATTGGAACCCATTCCTGATGCAACTGATAAGGACACCGAAGAAATTTGCATAGAAAGGAAGAAACGAGAAGAAGATGAATTGATATGCCGTGGGCACATTCTAAATGCATTGTCCGATCGACTATATGATCTCTACACAAATACTACTTCGGCTAAAGAAATCTGGTATGCATTAGAAAGCAAATACAAAACCGAGGAAGAAGGTACTAAAAAGTTTTTAATATCTAAATATTTTGATTTTAAAATTTTAGACAATATACCTTTATTGCCTCAAGTACATGAGTTATAAATAATTGTGAATAAATTGAAAGTAGTAAAAATTGAACTTCCCGAAACTTTCCAAGTGGGAGCAATTATTGCTAAACTCCCTGGTTCTTGGAGAGGATATAGGAAGAAAATTCTTCACAATTTCGAAAATTTTTCTTTAGAAGACATACAGAAATATCTTCGCATTGAGGAAGAATCAAGGGCAAGAGATAAGATTGAAAATTCTTATGATGGCTCTTCGAAAGCCAATGCCGTGGACAATGTGGACAACTCCAACAAGTTCAAAAAGAAAGAGAAATTTCTTGGTCCTAGAAAGGATCAAGGAAAATTCAAAAACAAAGCCAAAGGACCGTGCTATGTTTGTGGGAAACCGGGACACTATGCTAAAGATTGGAGGCATAGGAAACAACATAAGAAGGAAGGACAAGTGAACTCTGTTGATGAAATTATTGCAACAGTGAGTGAAATCAATGCAATCCAAGGCAAAGTTTTGGTTGGTGGTACGATACATGCGCTACAATTCATGTATGTTATGATAAGTCTCTCTTCAAAACTTATCATGACATTGAAGACAACCAAGAAATACAAATGGGAAATGAAGGAAGATCAAAGGTGATCGGTAAAGGAAATGTTGAACTCCTTTTCACTTCGGGAAAGAAGATCATTTTGATAAATGTCCTGCATGTACCGAAAATGAATAGGAACTTAGCAAGTGGTGTACTCTTGGAAAAATTCGGGATTAAATCTGTTTTTGAATCTGGAAAACTTGTATTAACTCATAGTGGGCATTTTGTTGGAAATAGTTATTCCACTGAAGGAATGGTCAAACTGTGTACTGTTAAGGATAACTCAAATAAAATTAAATCTTTTGCGTATGTTATTGATTCATTTAATTTATGGCATGGTAGATTAGCACATATAGGAGTTAGTACTATGAAAAGAATGATTAAATGTGGATTAATACAACGTGATATTGATAAGTTAGAAAAATGTGAAATATGTGTTAAATAAAAAATGATTAAAAGCCATTTCATAGCATAGAAAAAACAACAAAATTACTTGAACTTGTTCATTCCGACATTTGTGAATTGAATGGAATATTAACTAGAGGCAGTAATAGATATTTTATTACTTTTATTGATGATTGTTCTAGGTATACTTACGTATACTTACTTAAACATAAGGATGAAGCCTTTAGTGCCTTTAAAACTTATAAGAATGAAGTTGAAAATCAATTAGGAAGAAAATTAAAAATTTTAAGAAGTGATAGAGTTGGAGAGTATTTTTCAAATAAATTTAACGTATTTTGTGAACAAAATGAAATAATACATCAATTTTCTGCACCTAGAACACCGGAACAAAATGGATTAGCAGAAAGAAAGAATAGAACTTATTTGGAAATGATAAATGTTATGTTATTAAATTCTGAATTACCTTTTAACTTATGGGGTGAAGCATTACTTTGTGCTCGTCATATAACAAATAGAATTCCTATGAAAAAGAATAAAATTTCCCCATATGAACTTTGGAAAGGTAGAAAACCAAATATTAATTATTTTAAATTGTGGGGGTGTCTTGTGTATTATAAAAATATGGATCCAAAGAGAACCAAGTTAGGTCCTAGAGGTATCAAATGTACCTTTGTAGGATATGCCCTTAATAGCAAAGTCTATAGGTTATTAAATCTCGAATCAAATGTTATAATAGAATCAAGAGATGTGGAATTCTTTGAGAATGTGATGGTAGCTAAGAAATCTGAAAATAATAAGGATATTCGAACCTTTAAAAGCTCACCAAAAGAGACATCCATAAAAGATGTTGACATTGAACCTCGAAGAAGTAAAAGAACAAGAAAGGAAAAGAACTTAGGATCTAATGAAATAGATTCCCAACTTATTTCCTTTTACTTAGTAGAAGGAGATAGGAAGGATGTTGTAAGAACAATTCATTTTGTTCTTCAAGTGGAAAGTGATCCTAAGACTTATAAGGAAGCAATGCAATCTAGAGATTATATATTCTGGAAAGAAGCTATAAATAATGAAATGGATTCTATTATTTCAAATAACACTTGGGAAATAGTTGACCTACCAGCAGGTTCGAAAGCTATTGGTTGTAAATGGGTATTTAGAAAAAAATATAATTCTCATATATCGCTTAATACTTATAAGGCTAGATTGGTAGCTAAATGGTATCGTCAAAGGGAAGGAATTGATTACTTCGACACATATACACCCGTGGCACGGATAACCTCAATAAGGATTTTATTTGCACTAGCATCTATATATAATTTATATGTTCGTCAAATGGACGTAAAAACGGCATTTTTAAATGAAGATCTCGAAGAGGAGGTTTATATGGAACAACTGGAAGCGTTTGTTCTACCGGGAAATGAACATAAGGTGTGCAAATTAATCAAATCTTTATATGGATTAAAGCAAGCTCCCAAAAAGTGGCATGAGAAATTTGACTTTAAAATAATGTCAAATGGATTTAATCACAATTCAGTAGATAAATATCTCTACACAAAAGTGAATGGTGATATAATCACATTAGTGTGTCTATATGTTGATGATATGCTAATCATTAGTAACAATATAGACGGAATCAAAAAAACAAAACGATTTGTATCCTCTACTTTCAAAATGAAAGATCTTGGAGAAGTAGATACTATCCTTGGAATCAAAGTAAAGAAAGATAGTGGGGATTTTACATTAAGTCAATCACATTATGTTGATAATGTGATAAATAAATTTAAACATTTGAACGTTAAAGAGGCGAATACCCCTATAGATCCAAATATAAAATTAATCAAAAACGAAGGTAGAGCAATTGCACAAATAGAATATGCAAGTGCAATTGGAAGTTTTATGTACACATCACAATGTACAAGACCTGATGTGGCATTTGCTGTAAGTAAACTAAGTAGGTTTACTAGCAATCCAAGTTCGGAACATTGAAAAGTCATTGGTAGGGTTCTTGGTTACCTAAAGAAAATCAAAAACCTTGGGCTACAATATACCAAGTATCCTAAAATATTGGAAGGATATACCAATGTAAGTTGGATATCAAGTGCAGGAGAAAATAAATCTACATCTGGATGGAGTTTCATTCTTGGAGGTAGTGCAGTGTCTTGGAAGTCTAAGAAACAAACTTGCATTACACATTCAACTATGGAATCAGAGTTTGTAGCTTTGGCTGAAACAGGGAAAGAAGCAGAATGGCTGAAGGACTTATTATATGAAATACCTTTAGACATAAAGGATATTTCCTCCATACCTATTTTGTGTGATAGTCAAGCTACTTTAGCTCGAGCATATAACGAAGTATATAATGGGAAGTCTAGACATATGAGTCTAAGATACGAATATGTAAGGAAATTAATCAAGCATGGAGTAATTTCTCTTACATTTGTTAAATCGAGTGAAAACTTAGCTGATCCATTTACCAAACCTCTCACAAGAGAGTTAGTGAAATCAACATCAAGTAAAATGGGTTTAAAACTTCTTAAATAGATTCACCAATAGCGGCAACCCTACCAAAATATACTAAACCAGTATATATATAGGTTCAAAGGGTAATAACAAGTTATTCGATAAATGGATGGATTTTAACACTATTAGATATATTGAAATTATATCTTTGAAACTAGTGTTGGTTGTTACTGTTGGAGGGATGAGTTAATTAAACTCTTAATGAAGTTCAGTACGGAGTACAAGTATCTATAAAAGTAACAAAAAAATATTGGAAGAACTTCACCTATGTGAACTTCGAGGTGGTGCCGCCTCATTAGAGAATTGAAGTTTTTCTCTATAAAAGTTCAACGAAATAGAATTAGTGCAAAGCCATATTAGCACTAAGCGAGTTAGAGGAACTTGTGAAAAGTTTAACACTTGTGTGTGTGATTTCATCGGTATTATCACAAAAAAAACTGGTTCAAAGCACTTTAGCTACTTGGAATTCTGACAATACTTTATGAGATTTATACTATGAATAGATTCAAATCGAAAAGATATCTAATTTTTATGCATAAGTGTTGATTATTTGATTATGAGATAGACACTGATTTTGAACAAGTGGGGGATTGTTAGAATTTTAGTTGTTCAAAATAGTAGTATAAAAAAAAAAAAAATTTGGGCTTAACCATGCGGCCGCATGGGTTAAGCCGCATGAGGCCCTCCCATTGCAGTATAACCATGCGACTGCATGGTTATAGCCCATGCGGTCACATGGTTATACAAAGTGACCGTTGGGGATTCGTTTTTTATCGTTTTTCTTTTGAATTTGGTGCCTTTTCAACATAATTTTGCACCATTTCGTGGGAACCCTTCAAAACCTATAAATAGGTGTTCCAATTGCAAAGAAAAACATTCTTGAGAAAATTAAGAAATCCACCACAAAATTATTCTCCCAAATTATCACATAATCAATCATATATCTATTTTCACTTGTTTTTTGTGAAAGATACACTTTGCTTTTGGTGTTCTTCACACAAAAACTTGTTTAATCTTACAAACTATTTGCCGAAACTCCTCAAAAGCATTGGAAAGGAGGCAAATAACGTTTGAGGATAGCGTTTTTATTTTCGTGTTCAAGCCTCTTATTATATCTATATTCTTTTATTACCAATTTTCCTCTCTTCATTGCTTTAAATTTCCAACACAATGCAGTAAAGGATGTACAATTCAGTGTTCTTTTTTTTTCTTTTTAACACTTTTCCAGCTTTCTTCCTTATTGCTTTTTTTTTCCCTCCATTTATGTGATGAGGCACACTTCCCAGCTGGGAGCTATGTACAGTGGTGCTAGGAACTCGCTGGCCGTAACACAATTAACTTAACGTTGCAAAAGGATTTACCTTTGACTGTTTGAGGCATGGGTTAATTTGAAAATTTTGAATTCATTAGTCAGTAATTAGTGTGTGTGGCAAAAACTATTGAAGATGATGATAGCTCGATGCATTTTGCACGTGTTCAGGTCAGGGAGTAGAGGAATCTGGTTAGTTTCTTCAAATGACTGCTTCTGGAACAAGAAACATAGGGCTACCGCTAATGAATCTTGTAAGACTAAAAGGAGTACCCATTCTACAGCAATTACATCTTGAGGAGAGACTGCTTCGAACCTCGTTAGATAACTGGTGCATCATTAACGATGGAACGGATGACCCAACTGTTGTCATGGGTATATCAGGGTGAGTAAGTTATGTTTGGAACTAAAATTCCTTTTGCTGCTATACTCTTGCTTGTTTTGCCATTTGAGCACTGGTACTTGATCCGATTATCATTTGAAGATAGAAAACTTGCAAAAATTGAGATAGAAAATTCAGTTATCTGGTGGCCAATATAGATGTTTTTATGTTTCAAGGTTCCTTAATTTATGAATGCTTTTACTAAGATTTTCATCCTCTGAATAGGAGTAAATATTTGAAAGGTTGAAATCACTTTTAAAAATTATTCGCTATATACTGTTTCAAATGCTACGTGTTCCATTAATGGTGGCTATTTACATATGTAAGTAGTTGTTTTATTAATTGGCTCCTTCATTGCCCTTGCTTCCTGATAGTACCAAGCTTAGCCTTCAGTAGCCGAGATATAATCTGCTGAATTTGGATTTGTACATTATACGACCCATGTTAATCTGCTGTCAGCATTGGTTTATGCATTATATAAGTACGATGTTGTTTGAGCTGTGTGTTGACACTGATAAGGACTATGATTATTGAGCTTGATATATCTTTATCACTTAAAGTAGGTTGTTGTTACTTGTTTGAGGTGTTATCAGTTTGATTGTGTACTTAAATCTCTTGCTCTATGATAATCAATTCAGCCTTTTGGGCTTAGGGTTTTGCCAAATGTTGTCATGATAATACCATCATGACACTACTCATTCTCAAGTTATGGATCCATCAATGTATGCTAAACAGAAAAGTTGATGCTTATTACATGTTTTCTAATAGGAAACCTGTGGAACTTCTTGAAATTGACTCTGTTTTACGAGATGAAATTCCAGTTATCCGAAGGTTTACTGGAGGAGGTACTGTTATTGTTGATAACGGGACTATATTTGTCACATTTATATGCAACAAGGATGCAATTCCAGGTTTACAATCATATCCTCGACCCATCATGTCATGGAGCAGCCTAGTTTATCGAAAAGTATTTCAAGGAATTGGGGATTTTAGCCTTCGGGAGAATGGTGTGTGTGGCTACCTGTAACCTTTAATGATTTTCTAATATTTTAGCTTTGGATGTTGTTTTACGAGGTTACTGCATTAAATGATGAAATTAGTTCAAGACTAGAAGCATGTATTTATTTCAAACGGAAACTACTACCTTTGTCTTTTAAATATATTTCTTCGTTGTTCTTTTAAGGTGGTGATTGAATTTTTTTATCATCAAAGGAAATTTTACTGATTTATTTAAATTCTTTAGATTCTTTCTTTCCTTTTTCTTTTAATTTTAACATTTATTTTGCATTATTCTTAGCATGAAATGAGGAAAGGCCTTTTCATAATTAAATTCCATTCTGACTGTGTACCAAATTTACTGGTAATATTTATCTTCTCCAATTTCTATTGATAATGATTTTCTCTCCATGTATCTGTTAAACTGATTAGCGGATTGGACAGGTTCATTTTTTATGCTATAAGTTATCTATCAGCAGCGAGTCTTTATCTCTTTCAGGATGTTTACTTAGTCTTTATTACCGATTAACGTACTTCACTATGGCCTAATATCATTTTTTGCTTTCATAATAATTCCCCTCTCGATTCTATTTTATAACTTTTTTCTGCTCACAACTTATTTCCTACCATGTTTTTCAGATTATGTGCTTGGCAACTACAAGTTTGGCGGGAATGCTCAATCCATTATTAAAAATAGGTGGGTTCACCATTCATCATTTTTATGGGATTATGAGATCAGTAACATGGGCTATCTCAAGCTTCCAAAACGCGCTCCTGAATATCGACAGGTGTGTGCTTGTAATTTCCTTGAATATTTGTCATTTGTCCATTGATTGCTTTTCCTTTATTGTATATTTATAAGTTTGCAATTTCAGAAGTTTGACCGAAACTCATAACCAACTTTTATTATGAATTAGCTTTTGATTTCCTCAAATATTGTCTGAAATTGTTACATTTTTCTTCTCGCATTATGTTTCCAGAAGGGTCTAATTTAATTTAAGTGACACTCAGGGTCATGAGATTAGAGTGCTCTTTGTTCTTGTATGTGTAGGCGGCATCTGTTAGAGAGACGAAGGGAGGGATCTTCTCAATTTAGTGCACCGAGAAATTCAACCTCTTCTGAGAAAAGTAGATTTAATTATATTATGCTCTATTTTTCTAACTCCCATGAGAAAAAAATGGAATATAAGTTCAAGAGTGTATCATTATGGAGAGACCATTAGCTTCATGCTGCAAAAATGATGGAATGAGAATCTGAACTGTATACAATACCCTTTATTATGCTTTCATTACACTATTTAAACTTGAACTTTTCTCTCAGTATGTATATGCTGCAGGAATACTGTAGCGTACTGTTAACCTGATAGGGGTTGCGTAGATTGGCTATAACCCATCAAGTAGCATCTCAAATTGGATAACTACTAAGCTGATTATTTGCATTCTGAATGTGCTGCTGAGGATGTTTATCACCTGGGATTCAAATTGGCTTTAAAATGAAAGCCCTTTAAATGATCCCTATACTAACTGGCCTATATCAAATTTTGGGACTTTACACGTCTTATTTGCTATGTTAGTTTTTAAATCTGGTGGTGAGTTCAATCAACTAATCTTGTGTGTCTCAGATCCAGTTTTGTGATGACATATTATTGTATGTTTGTTGTTTTATCAAATTCTTGGTTTCATCGAGGATTTCCGATTATTTAACATAATTATCGATAAATTAATGGTGTCTTGGACATACACTGATTTTAATGCTGCTTGACTGGTTTGGCCTGTATTAATAAATAATCTTTACAGATATGGATGCTGAAATAATTTCATCTGTCTGAAGCCCTCTCTCCTTTCTCCTCCTCCTCTCTCTCTCTTTTGCAAGTTTTTGACCTTGCCTTTTACCTTGTCTAGGCAAGGAGCCACTTGGAATTCATATGTCGCATGAAGGATTATATATCGAGGCCAAATTTCATCGACAGGACAATTGATGCAGTTGGCAGTCATTTTCTAGTGAGATCAATGGAGCTAGAAGCGATCAAGTATACCTCAGGTGCAAAATTCAAACCCTCCAGTAGGGTGCTAAGAAAGCAGGAACTGGAGGAGGCCGATTTTGATTCTCAGACAAGTGCAGTTACCCAGTCATTGCAATTGTGAATTGTTTATTTAAGCGTAAGGGTGTTTGTCTTTTGATCCCAAGTTCTATCTACAAGCCAGTTTCCACTGACTGCTGCTCGGGTTTGTGATAGCATCTCGAGAGGATAATTTTTTCTGTAACTTCTGCCAAAATATGAAGCAAGTATCGAATAATTTATGATTGCAATAGCATTATTTTCTTCAGAAAAGTTTGATTCCAAATAAAAAACTGTGAAAGCTTAATATTTCATTTTAATAGGACATTGGAGAAAATGTCCATTTTTAAAGGAAAAAAGGGTCGACATTTGCAAGTTTCCGGACAATGGTCATTGTTTGAAAAAAAATGAAAAAAGAAAAAAAGAAGCGAAAATACCCTTCATAAATACCCAATTACTAGCTACAACCAAAAACCATGCTTCCTGGAAAATTATCCAAATCGCCAGTGTCTCCCTCCTCACCCGGCCCACTTCTTCACCTTCATTACTCGACGGCATCTCGAAACCGTTAATGGTCACTATCACCACGCTCCCACCCACTTCTACATCTTTACCCCGACTACTCATTGGCATTTTCAACCATTTCTGTTCACCACCTCCACCCCACCTGCCCATTCACTGTTGACTTCGAAAAATAAACCTCTAATTGGTCAATAGATCCCGGGCCCACTTACATTCACTTAAGCTCTTTTCCTATACATTTGGACAAACCATTAGTTACTCGTGGCTTTCTCCGAAGATGGGAGGCAGTTGCTAGGGCTCCAGTGGTCAATTCAATCGACGGAAAGAAATATCTGAATGTGAGACAAGCTTAAGGTGTAAGTTACAAAAGTATTTTAACACCGAGAGCACATGTAAATATAGAGAGAGCAATCTTACATTGTATTTGTGAATCAAAATTGCATAACCCTTGAGTTGGGTGTGAATTGTAAGCTTTTATAGTGGCTTGGCTGAAACAGTAGTCGTTGGATGAGAAAGTACGCGGTTTCATCATAACGATCGAAGTTTCCAATCAGAGGTCATCACATCTTAGGTCCCCGACCTCGCAACATTTAATGCATTATAAAAAGGTAGCCATCCTAGGGCCTAAGTCTGAATACCTATGTGGTAGACTACAAAGTCTTGACATTCTTCTGCTGCAACAAATGTCACATTAATCATTCAAATGAGATCATTATGCAAAAGATCTCTTGGCCTATGAAAGATGCTCCTTTTATGGTTAGGAGACTTCTGCATCAGTCATGTAGGCCGCAAAACTTTCTTATGACATTTCAGTTGAGGCAGTGTATCTATAACACCCCAAAATCTAGATACCTAGATTTGGATGTATTGCTATTTCATTCTCTCTTAAAATCATAAATGCAGAAGTGACTAAATTTATTTTTAATATAATGAATATCATTAATTTATTTATGAACATAACTTGTAGAAAACTTTTGTACTTAAATGGAAAAAAAAAACAATAAAATTAAATGTTAACTTCATTTTCTGAAAGGAGTCAATATTGAAAGGAGTAGTACTGGGTCCATGTCACCGCAAGTCGTCGTCTCGAATCATTACTTTCATCATCTGAAAATGGGAAAGGATAACGTGGAATGAGCAAGCTTATTAAGCAAACTTCATACATAGGATGTATACTTATGGTATGCGTATGAATTACTTGAAAATAAAAGTATTTCTCAACATGTATCTTTTTTTTTTTTTAATTTATTTAAAAACTTAACATTAACGTCGTGAACTCGCTTAATATATTGCCTAGCCAATCAGAATGCAGTGAACAATTCTTATTTGGAACCCGATTGAGTCCTATTGGTAGTACCGCAAAGCGATTAACATTATCATTGAACATTGGTTAGGTGTGTTGTTTCCCCACTCTCCATTTTTCACTCACACCTTTCATGGCATGGACATACACCTCGTAATAAAAATATTCAGGATACATATCTTTTTAAAACATTTATTGAGTCATGACATTTGGAAATATTTTATTCCTTGAAACTTCATGTAAGCTTATGAATGCATTGACGTACATGAATATGTCATGAGAAGTATGAAAAACATAAAAACGTAATAGTCAAATATCAAGAAAACATAATAACAAATTTAGGTAACACTTTTTTACATTTAATAATGTAACGTGTGTATGAAGACAATGGAAGGTTTACTCTTTTGAATGACAAGTGAAGATCATCCGAACCATTCAGAAATCAACGTGCCCAAAATCCTAATTCATTATGATTTATTTAGAAAATTCACTCTTTAAATATGAACTTAGAGCATTAATCTATTAAATTATTATTATTATTGTAAATTCCTATTTGTAAATAAAAGTGTTAGAATTAATAAAATTAAAAGTGAAATTCAATGTTAAAGACATCTTCAATTCAAAAAAAAGTATTAATCTTATTTTAATAGTTATTGAACCAATGACCATTATATACATGTATATATGGACACAACGCCAATGTATACCCATAGCACTAACAATCCCATATATATAGGTCTATACACACACACACACACCCATTACACACAACCCATTACACGCACATATATTTATGAATTTTGTTGGTTGTACAACGTACCCCTATTGACAACCATTCGTAGGTCACACTCCCATGTATGTGGTTGTCAACTTCAGTTGTACATGTAGCACGGCCATATATTTGTATGCAATATAGACCGCTTGATGCCCATACAACTACATACATATGTACAACATAAAAAAAATGATTTTATATTTGTGAAGTGTGCATGCACAGGTACTCATATTTGTCTGAAACAAGTGTATTATATGCAAAGACACTTATAAACTTTCTTCAATCAATTCAGGCGTGCTCTATAATGAGAGTGAACATAAATTTGATCATACTATGATATCCAAACAAGATAAAATTGAATAAAAAGTTCAATACCTTATCAAATCCCCAGTGCAGAATGTGAACAAGAAGAGAAGCATAGGTTTCTTTTTGGGTTTTATTTTTATTTTCATATGAGGGATATAAATAATGGTTTCTTTCTTTCTAAAAGAAAAGCGTGAAAATGTCTCTTTTCTGGAAATATAAAGCATAAATTTTGGGTTGATTTGATGTCAATTTGTTAACTAAATAATATTTTTCAGTGAATTAGTGCACTAAATAATCTATCAGTGCTTAATAATCTAGTCCATTAATTTAAGAATTTTAATTAGAGGAAACTATGAAACAAATTAGATATATATATAATTTTGTTTATTTTATTAATATTTACTATAATAGACACGATGACCGTCTAAGACGACATAAATTTATAGGCAAACATTATAATTATATACAATAATAATGTATGAGAAGCGTGGAGTTACAATTTCACTTTTCATGGATCGTTAAGAGGCTTCCTCTTAGGTAATGTGGGCTTCTGCCCCTTACATCGCTCTTTGGGGGAAGCAGTGAATCACCTCTCTAGTTGTTTTGTAGTGGGAGGCGCTTTGCTTTGGCCATGGAGCTTTATTATGCTTACACATGGTGCTCTAGTAAGGGTGAAGCTTGTCGCTTCGTTATCTTTACTTTTGATGACGTGGAGTGTGGGCCTTTGTTGAGCTTCTAATTGACTACCAGGTGGGATTCTACTTGAGTCTCGGTAACGAGGCATAGCCTCCCAAATCCATATATGATTATTCATATAATGAATGGTTATTAGAAGTAGGTTAGGGTTCGTATTTTAAGAAGCAACATTCCTTTGCAAACCAAACCAGCTATTACACTTTTGACATAACACATTCACCATCTCCACTCGTAGGCATCTCCAACCCATTTTCGTTCACCACCATAGGCATTCGGTTGTCGAGATATGAGTTTCCCCAACAACCAAATGTCGAGTGGGTAAAACTCAAATGTAAGAACTAAGAACCTTGAAATAAGGAAAAATTGCAGTCGTGGTACCAAACCTTTCGTTTATTAGTAGACTTTGCCTAAACTTTTAATTTGTACCACCAGAGATACAAAACCTTTAAAAATGAGTAGGGCCAGTCTAAAATGACGGTTTCCGTCTGTTTGACCACCAAAATCGTCAGTTGACCCCTCTAATGATATTTTCAAGAATTTTCCCCAAATAAGTGAAGGGCAATCTGGGCATTACACACATTTCCCTCCTCAACATCAAACACGTCAGTTGCAACTTCATTCCACTCACCATCCACTACGGACCCTGTGAAAACCCACGAAGAAGACATAACATACGTCAAAGAAGACGATCATCTAGTGGACATTGCAGCCCACATTCAAGGCTCTCTTCCCCAACCCGTGTATGGTAAGTGTGTTCCCCTTTTTTCGATTTACGGTGTGAAGTTTTGTGATTATGAAGTTCCCCTGTGCGATTGTCTTCACGTACTGGGAAATTAAAAAATGTTAAGTGAGTTGGTGTATTAGAGCGTAATGCTTGTGTACTATCTTTTCTGCACATGTTCATTGCTCGAACTGAAAAGAGCTAGGGCTTAACTTTATTTTTTTTGTTGTTTTTTTCAGGGAAAATTCAAAGTATTTCAATATACGCTTCATCATAGTGGAATTTTATTTCGGAAGATGAGAAATTTTGTGTATAAGCATAGAAAAATAAGTTATATAGACTATATCGACCCTGATTTCTTCAATAGATTTCTTTTGGACAATGCGGTGAAGATGTTAAGATATTCTGATAGAATTAGATATCTATACAAGATGGAGAAGAAGAAAATGAGTGAAGCTTCATTTTGGTTGGTTAAAGACTCAGATTTCATGAACTTAGTGAAGTGGCTTGGTGATAATAGGACATCTGAACTGTATTGCTTGCCTGTAGTTGAGGTTTTGGAGTTGCCTTGGGATGAAACAGAACAAAAGGATGTTCAAGTGTTTTATTGTGAGATTGGTGAGGAGTTGGTGAAGGTTCAAAAGTCTGGAGAACATGATGAAGCATTGAATGAGCAGCAACTATGCTATGCTGATGAGATTTATGACAAATCAGTAGAAGGTGATGACTTATACGTAGTTGATGAAGTGGATGACATGGAAGCAGATGAAGAGGAAGTTATCCTTACATGAGATGAGGTCGAATAGGTTACAGTGCATGGAACAAAGCATGAGTATACAGAGGTTGATTTTATAGGGGCTGAAGTAGACTCACATGAACCAGAAGTGCATGCTGCTGAACCAGAGAAACCACATGATGTTGAAC